GTTATAGGTAATTCAAATTAAAAATAAATCACAGTATTTGGTCTCTACAGTTAAGACTAAAGAGTAAATATTAAATCATGACCATATATTAACATCAAATATCCCTGTGATGTTTTTATCATATTTGTAGTCATTATTAACAAATCACTATTTAAAACTGATGAAGCATACATCAATATAGTCACAAGAAAAATATCAAACAATTCCGCAAACTTTTTAGGTAACAACCCATCACAAAAGGTTTCCACTGTAAGGAGATGCATAAACATGTTACAGTTTCATAGGACAAAAAGACAAACAAACAATTTTATAGACCCATTTTATCATGCCTTTATTTCTGAATATGTCTGAATATAGACATTTTGCAACTTCCTACCAATGATATTAAAATTAGTTTTATTATTTCTAAAAAACACTGGTAACTTGCCCATCCTCTGCAACAGTTGCTTGAAAAGTTAAACATAAAGTTAGCGTATGACCCAGCAATTCTACTCCTAGGTATAGACCCAAGAGAACTGAAAACATATCCACACAAAATCTTGTACATGGATGTTTAGAGCAGAATTGTTCATAAAAAGCAAAAAGTGAAAACAACTCAAATGTCCATGAACTGATGATAATTAAAAATGATATATTCATACAATGGAACATTATTCAGCCATTAAAAGGAATGAAGTGTTGATACATACTATGGCATTATGAACTTTGAAAACAATTTAAAAAATCAGACACAAAAGGCCACATGTTGTATGTTTTGATTTACATGAAATGTCTACCATAGGCAAATATAAAGAGACAGTAAGTAGATTAGTGGTTGCCTGGAACTGGAAGGATGGAGTGGATTAGGGAAGCACTGCTAACAGGGGCACGGTTTCCCTTGGGGGCAATAAAGTGTTCCAAAATTGATTGTGGCAGTGGCTGCACAGTTCTAAATATTCTAAATACCACTGAATTATACACTCTAAGTGGGTAAATTATATGATAAATAAATCCTATCTTAATAAAGCTGTTTGGGAACAAAGAAAAACTTCTTGCTTCCCATAAATTATTTCCTTATCCATAAGATGTATATTTTCCAAATTACCAAACCTCATAGCCTTTTTTTTTTAATCCTCTGCTTGTAACCTCTGATTCTCTAGATAGCCTGCTCTTCTTGGCAAGCACACCCACCTACTGTGCTAGCTAGCTCTTCAAGGCCCCCTGATGCCTCCCAACTTTGTCCTCTCACATGACTAGCAGATGGGCCTATTCTCAAATGTCTCCTTCAGCAATTTTATCCACCAAAAACCTTTCAAACTATTCTCTTAGTAAACCAGATGATTCCTAACTCTTTATCTTCTGTCTCTTGAGCTCTAGCCACAAGTCTGGATAGTTCAACCTGGATCATCCTCACTCTTAGCCTGCCGTAAAAAAATTCATCTCTCCCCAGAAATCTAGGTCTTTCCACATTACTCCTTATTTTTCTTAATAGCACCATCCTTTTCTAACTTAACTTGAAGTCATCTTCAACTGCACCCAGGTTCCAAATCCTACTGATTTCTCCCTCAAGCATTTAACTTTCCTTACTGCCTTGACCCCTTGTTCAGCTCACAGACCTCTTAGCATAAATATTACAAAAAGCATTTTAACTTTTCTCAAGTCCAGGCTATCATAAAACATCCATCCACAAAAAGCTGCCAAAATAAATCTCATAAAGAACAATTCCAATAAAAACAAATAGCATGCCAAAAGACATGAGCAGACAATACATAAAAGAGGAAATATAAACTGGATCCCAATATTAAGGAAAGAATGGTCAAAGAAAGACAAACAAAAATGAAGTATTTCTAACTAGCACTGTAACTGCCACCATAAACTGATGTAACCATTTTTAAAAAGCATTTGTCAGTATCAAGAACCTTAAAATGTATGATTTGTATATACTATCTTTCCAGAGATACTCTATGCTTAAACTAAACATGCACAAGTAACAGTACCATGGATACCTCTAAGGAGAACTGGGAGGTTGAGGGGAAAGGATAAAAGGGAAACTTGATTTTTTTCCTAATAACCTTTTGTATTTGAATGTTTTTTTAACTAGGTACTCTACTACAAAGAGAATATGTAATTAGCCATCTCTGAGACCACGATGAATGTAATTAACCTGATTATCAAGGCCAGGAGAGAAACTCAGAATAAAACATTGTTTTTGCTCCAGGGACATTCATGGCATTGATTTAAGGTCTAAATTTTGACCCCATTTCTCTCAAAGATTGTTTTATTTTCCTACTGCATGTGATGACACTGTTTTTTTCCCTTTAACCCATTTAGAAAAATACCACATGTTCTGTTTGCCCCTCATGTTGAAGTTTTTGCTCTAGATTTACTTAGTGACTTTTAGAAGCAGTTGAAAGAGGAAACTGTGAAATCCATCTTACAGAAAAAAGCTTTTACAGAAATCCAGCCCTGAAGCTATAGCTGAATAAAGAAACGTTTTGTTGCTCTTACCATCATGATGACACTGAAGGTTTAATGCCCCATTAAGTAAGCTCCAAAGCCTACTTATTTCATCTTTGACACAGTAATTCCACTTCTGAGAACACTTTCTACCAAAATAACTTCAAATACAGAAAATGTTTTATGCCTTTAATGTTGTGTTTAACACAGGATAATTAAAAGAGAAAGAGAGAGGGAGAGAGAGATAAATGCCCAGCATAGAAAAATGCCTAAAATAAGAATAACCTATATATTATGGTCAGTTGGTTTTTGACAAGGGTGCCAGGGCCATTCAATAGGGAAAGGACAGAGTATCCAATAAATAGTGCTGGGACAATTGGATAGCTACATGCAAAAGGATGAATTTGCATGCCTACCTCACACCATATATAGACCTTAACTCTACATATATCAAGACCTAAATGCAAGAGGTAAAACTATAAAACTCTTAGGTGAAAAAAGAGGTAAGTCTTCATTACCTTAAATTTGGCAATGGTTTCAGATATGACACCAAAAGCACAAGCAACCAAAAAACTATAAAGTGAACTTCACCAAAATTTTAAACTTTTGTACTTCAAGGACACCATTCAAGAAAGTGAAAAGAAACTCCAAAAAATGGAGAAAATGGGGGGGAGGGGAATATTACAAATTGTGTATGTGATAAGGGACTTATCTGGACTATGTAAAGAACTCATAAAACTTTAAAATAAGTTTTTAAAAACTTCATTTTAAAAAGGGCAAAGTAATTAAACTGACATTTCTCCAAAGATTTGCAAAAGGCCAAGAAGGGAAAAGATGCTCAACATTTTCAGCCATCCAGAAAATGCAAATCAAAACCACAATGACATACCATTTCACAACCAATGGCAGCAATCAAAAAGACAGGTAAGTATTAACAATGATATAGAGAAATCTGAACCCTCATATCCTGCTGGTGCAGGCCACTTTGGAAAACATATGGCAGTTCCTCAAAAAGAATTACTGTATGACCCAGAAATTGTTTCTAGGTATACACCCAAGAGAACTAAAAACATTCGTCCACACAAAAGCTCGTGCATGGATGTTTATAAAGCAAAAGTATTCATATAGTCAAAAAGTGGAAACAGCCCATATGTCCATCAACAAAATGCAGCATATTCATATAATGGAATATTATTCAGCCATAAAAAGGAATGTAGCAATAATACATAGCATATGGATTAACCTTGAAAACATTAAGCTAAGTGAAAGAAGCCAGACACAAAAGGACACATAGTATATGGTTCCATTTACATGAAATATCCAGAATAGAAAAATCCACAGACACAAAAAGTAGACTAATGGATGCCAGGGACTGAACAAGCAAGAGGAGTGTCTATAATAGGTACAAAGTTTCTTTTGGAGGCAATAAAAATATTCTGGAATTAGATAGTGGTGATGAGTGCTTGAAAAATCAAATTTACAATTTAAAAGAATGGATGTTATGGTATGTGAATTGTATCTCGGAAAAAAACACATCTATCCATATCATGGATGCAATGTACAAAAATTAGGCTTTCTAGTTACAAAGTCCTTCCTAGGAATCAATCTAGGAGATTAATTGCACCCAGGATACCAAAATCCAAGGATGCTAAATCCTTTACAATGTAGCTTTTTTTCTCCCCCCCCAAATATTTTCCATCTGTGGTTGGTTGAATCTGCATGGATCCGTGGATACATAGGGTCAACAGTAATCCTATTTTATATGCATACACTATGATCATAAGTAGATTAAGAATATGCTATGGAAATTACAAAGAATGATTTTTTTTAAAAAAGCTGGGTTGGTGGAACTATAGGTGATCTCTTAAAATAGTTCTGCATCTCCCAGATTTTCTTTAATAAGCATGCACCGTTTCTTAGAAGTGGAGGGGAAAAGCTTTATTTAAAACCAGGAAAAAAAAAAGGAAATTAAACTCTTGGGCGTATAAAAATTCCTTAGCTGACTATTGAAGGATTTCGGTCACATGGTCCCCAAAATACCTTTCATTCCCTCCCCTACAGAGGCCAGTCCAGTTGCACTCCCTCCTTCGGGAAACACGATGCCCTCTCCTTCCAGGGCACCTCCAGCTCCAGCTCTCCACCCTCCTCTCCAAAAGCCGCTCCTCCTTCTTCTCGGTCCTCTCCCGGTCCTCTTCCTCCGACTGAGCAGGAACCGCTAACGTCCTGCGGACCCCACCGGGCCTCGATTACACGCGGGGCGACAGCACGCACCCCCGGGTCTCCCGCGAGCCTCAGACTTGGAGAAACCCACAGCCGAAGACTGCCGAGTGGGCGGAGGACAGCGAGGGCTCCCCACACACACACGCCCTTCCCCGGCGAGGGAATGCGG